CATGGCCCATACTGCGTGCAAAGTTGGTAAAATTATATGGCATGGCTTCATACTTGCGTGCAAAGTTGGTAAAATTATATGGCATGGCTCCATACTTGCGTGCAAAGTTGGTAAAATTATATGGCATGGCCCCATACTTACGTGCAAAGTTGGTAAAATTATATGGCATGGCTCCATACTTGCGTGCAAAGTTGGTAAAATTATATGGCATGGCCCCATACTTACGTGCAAAGTTGGTAAAATTATATGGCATGGCTTCATACTCGTGTGCAAAGTTGGTAAAATTATATGGCATGGCCCCATACTTGCGTGCAAAGTTGGTAAAATTATATGGCATGGCTTCATACTTGCGTGCAAAGTTGGTAAAATTATATGGCATGGCTCCATAGTTGCGTGCAAAGTTGGTAAAATTAATGACATGGCTCCATACTTGCGTGCAAAGTTGGTAAAATTGTATGGCATGGCCCCATACTTGTGTGCAAAGTTGGTAAAATTATATGGCATGGCTTCATACTTGCGTGCAAAGTTGGTAAAATTATATGGCATGGCTTCATGCTCGTGTCCAAAGTTGGTAAAATTATATGACATGGCTCCATACTTGCGTGCAAAGTTGGTAAAATTGTATGGCATGGCCCCATACTTGTGTGCAAAGTTGGTAAAATTATATGGCATGGCTTCATACTTGCGTGCAAAGTTGGTAAAATTATATGGCATGGCTTCATACTCGTGTCCAAAGTTGGTAAAATTATATGGCATGGCCCCATACTTGTGTGCAAAGTTGGTAAAATTATATGGCATGGCTCCATACTTGCGTGCAAAGTTGGTAAAATTATATGGCTTGGCCCTATACTTGCGTGCAAAGTTGGTAAAATTATATGGCATGGCTCCATACTTGCGTGCAAAGTTGGTAAAATTAATTGCATGGCTCCATACTTGCATGCAAAGTTAGTTTCATACTCGTGTGCAAAGTTGGTAAAATTATATGGCATGGCTCCATACTTGTATGCAAAGTTGGTAAAATTATATGGCATGGTTCCATACCTGCGGCAAAGTTGGTAAAATTATATGGCATGGTTCCATACCTGCGTGCAAAGTTGGTAAATTCATGTGAAAAGCCTGCAAAGTTTTGTGAAAGTTGTGTCCAGAGTTAGTAACCTTACATAGAGAGCATGCAAAGTTGCGTACAGTGTTGGTAAACATACATAGAGAGCATGCAAAGTTGTGTACAGAGTTGGTAAACTCACGTAGACAGCATGCAAAGTTGTGTGCAGAGTTCGGAAACTTACATAGAGAGCATGCAAAGTTGTGTACAGATTTGGTAAACGCACGCAGACAGCATGCAAAGTTACGTACAGAGTTGGTAAACTTAC